GTATAGATTTCAGCTTTGCATTTAGGTGTTAGATTTTTGGTAAGTTTTGAAGTTATATCATAACTTTAAAACTATTTGTTTTTTTTAAAAGAATCGTTTTATTAACATTTCTTTTTGTTTTTTCTTGTAAGAGCCAATTTTGAATTTAGCTTAAGTTTGGAAGAAAGCAATTTATTATGACACCATAGTCCCGTTCAGGTGTCTTTTTTAAAAATTTCAATTTTTTTTTTTTTTAATATCAGATAAATTTTTTTATTAAATTTTTTTTATTTTAGGAACGATTCAGCTCGGCAATTTCTTGGAATGGATATTTCTTGTAAGACTTGTGAGTTTTAGGAAGGATTTTTTTTAAAAATCTTAATGAAAACGTTATTAAATTAATGTTTCTATCTTATTTTATTTTTAGGAACGGTAGATTTCTTGAAATGGGACTTATCATTATTTACAATAATGTGAGTTTCAGGGGATAATTTAAATTAAATATATACTATAATAGACAGTTAGGTATATGAAAATAAAATAAATACAGTAAAATAAATAAATTAATTAATTAATAAATTAATAAATAAATAGAATAAAATGAAATTAAATAAATAAATTAAATAAAAAAATCTGTGCAATGATTTATGCGATGTAAATAAAACAGTGCGTTGATTGATGCTATTTTTCAACGCGCTGTTCTGTGTTGCCTTCGTAGAATCACATGATTTCACGCTGATCTGTGTTGGCATAAAACAATGCGCAGTTTTATGCGCACTTAACTTACTGATGGAACAGTTAGTAAATATAAAAAAATGTTGAATTAATTTTTTTTTACTTACCGAAAGTCTCCATTCAAATACCTGAAAAACCGGATATCTAAAAAGAGGAAAAAGAAAAAAAACACTAGTTAACATTTGCATAATGTTTCGTTGAAATAAACACATATACCACACACTTACATGTATGGAAAAAATGAGAGACTGGGAAGGGAGAGAGAGAAGAACGTGTATTTGAAAGAAAGATCGATAATCATTAATACTATATATGTGATACACGTGATACATAATCTCCCGATATTAAATTTACAATTTAATTTAAATCATAATTACAAAAATTCCTTAAAGATTTTATACTTAAGAATCTTTAAGTGAAACATTACTATTACAATAGAAGTATAAGGGTATAAGGGTGAACTCTTTTATTTTAAATGAGAGAAATTCAAGTATGGGAACATGTGCTAAAATGGGGACTTGCTCAAAGTCCTGAACTTCCTTTTGATATTACAAATATTTCAAAAGAAGATTTCAAAACTTTAAAGAATAATGTACGTCAATGTATTCCATTCATCAGATTTCATAATTTGTCTTCTGAAGAATTTTCGGATAAAGTATTACCTTACAGAAAAATTTTACCAAAGGATTTATTATATGAAGACTTATTAAAATATTTTATGAATCCTAATAAAAAATCAAAACCTCGTATGACGACTGCTATAAATGAATTTATATTAATTCCAAAATTATTACAATTCAACATGCCGAATTAATTTCAAAATGGATTGATAGATTAGAAATTACAGATGAGATAGAAAAAGCGTACAAATTCCAATTGTTACTTAATGGATCTCGTGATGGGTTTACACATAAAAAATTTCATAAATCTGTGATAATCGACATCGTACTATAACAATTATCAAAGTGAACAATAGTAATGAAATTCTTGGAGAATATAATCTAATTGAGTGGGAATCTAATGAGTCTGATGAATCTGATGATGAATTAGATGAAAAAAATTTTGGTACTACTAAAGATAGCTTTATATTCTCTTTTGATAATAGTGTCGATGTTGAAAGTTATATTTTAAGTCGTGTAAAAAGTGAAAAATATGCCATAGTGATCTTGGCCCATCATTTGGTGTCCGTGATCTTGATTTATATATCAATCAGTATTACAATAGGGGAGAGTAAGTTTATTTTATCAATCAGTAAAACAGTGCTATTACAATAGAAGCGTAAGGGCGTAAGGGCGAACTTTTTGTTAATCAATTAGTTCGTTGATATTGTTTTGCTCATAAAATATGAAAAAATTGAAAAAATTGAAAAATGAAAAATTTCTTTTTCTTACATTTTGATTTTTTTAAAAAATTTCGAAAGATGATATTTTTCATTTTCTTTTACCGAAGTAGATATAAAATTTATTGTATAAAAGTTTATTTATTAAAATATATATAGAGAAGCTTATTTATTAACATATATGGAGTTTTATATATTAAAGTTTAAATTATTCGCCTAAATAAACTTAAACAAATAGACTTTTTCTTACATTAAGTTTAAAAATAAACTTTTATAAACTTTGTTTCTTGATAATAAAATTAGTAATAAAAAAAATAATTTTTTAAATTTCGTAACTCTTCCAATTTTATAAAAAAAAAAACTTTTTAAATTATTATTTATTTTTTTAAAATGACAAGAGTACGAAAAGAACAAAAAACTACCGTGCAAAATGAAGCAGAAGTCAAAAGTAAATATTTTTATATAAAATTGCAATATAATATTATTACAATTTTTTATTTAGTACTTTTTAATTTAATTAGAAGGTCGTGGAAAAAATGGTGGTGGACGAGGTCATGGACGAGGTTGTGGACGAGGTCGTGGTTCAACCCAAGTGCTAAAGACTGCTGCGGGTAATGTCTTCAGACTTTTTTTTAAAAAAATTAGTAATATCTTTTCTTATTTTAGTAATTTTTTCTCAATTTCCGATTTGCGTTTACTTTAATTAGGTGATCGTGTCCGGGATAATAAAAAACAAGCGAATAAATGAGACACTCCGATTCAAGAATATGAAGCTGAAGCTGGTAATTAATTTTTAAATTTACCATTATTTTATTTTTATAATAAATTTCAATATTGAATAATGTATATTATAATTAGATCATGATAGTGAAAAGCAACCTTCTAAATCAGACCTTAATGTCATTTCTATTTCTGACGATGAGTTAGAACCAGCATTTGATGATACACCCAATGATTTAAGCATTTCTGGGCCTTTCAAGTTAGATTATAGCACAATTGCGGATAATTCTAAAAAGATTTGTGAAGATGATCGTGAAATAGAAACAGAAAGTGCAACTGCAAGTCGATCGGCTAAAAGTATGAATAAAAAACGGGTTTTATCCATCAGTTCTACTAAAAATAAGCGTCAACGATCTCAAGAAAATATTACTGATTTGCTTGAAGTCTCGGAAAGTGATGATGATAAAGGTAATTGCAAACTAATCCTTATGTAGTAACTAATATTACTTATACTAATAAATTCAATTCACTGATGATTATAGAAGATAGAGGTGATAGTGATGAATCTGCCGGAAGCTTAGATGAGAAGTATAGTGAAAGATGGAGAAACCAACAAGACTTAACATTGCATGATACAAGAAAAGGTAATTATTTCCTAATTATTGTTTATTATTATTATTATTATGTTTATTACGAATACTAATATTTAACAATTTATATAAATATACTTTTAGACAAACCTAAAGCTTTAAATGGAATGAAAAATATTTTAGAAGTTTGCCAGTGGCTAATAGAAAGACCGGATGTATTAGTAATGGCAAATCAGATGTACAACGCTATGAATACATCGTTAGATTTGCATCTTGTAAATAACATGATGATACCCACTGCACCAATATCAAAAGCCACTGCAGCTATATCTGCAAATGAAGAAAAGGCACTTGCTCGGCTTTGGCATGAGGAAATTAAATGTCTTTTTCTCAGATGTAGGGCACCTCCAGATGATGCTATTGAAAGTCTCGTAAAGACAATATTTAATTATGACCTCTATAGTAATAATGCTGAAGAGGTCATTTGCCACTCTAAAAGGACTCTAACAGATTTTCGCAGTAAACTTAATAAAAAGATTGATGCAAAGGTCCATGAATTCAGAGAAATACGAGTAAAAAAAGGAAAAACTACTGCGCCAGCAAGATCAGAAATTGAAGAGTTTATGACCTCCGAAGTTGTTGAGCAGATATTATATAGATATCTAACAGGCACTGACAAGACTAAGCTTAAAAAATGCGGTACTTTGGAAAGACTTGTTCTATTCGTCAGAGAAGAATTTAAAATACACTATACTAAATACGATGTCAAAGCTATTAAGGAGCTTGATAACATTACGAAGAATTATAAAGTGCCAAGTAGATCCGGTAAAAACATTGCCATGAAGCTTTCATTAGAATATTGATTAATTTATTCTTTATTGTTTGAACTGCGTAATATTATAAAATATACACACGCCCATTTTATATATATTCTTTAACTACTATGTACATTCTTAAAAATTGAAACAATTGTATTTTATTCTTGAATGGGTTCCCACCTTGTTATGGTTGTGTCACCAGGGGCGCTATGTCAACGGAAACTTAGTACGTTGATCGCTTAAAAATCCGCGGCAATCCAATCATAACAAGAGGAATTAATATTTATATAAGATATTGTACTATTTGTGTATGTTATAATTAAATTACAATATTTTACAATTATACAATTAATAATTTATTATTGATAAAAAAAATTATGTAATCTATTAAAATTTTAATAATTAATAATAAAATGCGTTACTTAATGGTTTGTATACAACTTATCGCTTCTATATAACAGATATGAAGTGAAATGACAGAATCTATAATTACATGTTTTTTAAAAATAAAAATAATTGTATTTTCAAAAATTAAAACGTATTTTTCACAATTAAAAAACAATTAAAGTTTCATATTACCTCCATGTAGAAAATATAAAGTAGTGAGGTAGAAACTGGACAGTCAAAACGAAAAAAATGCCACTAGCGATCGACCCTATAGTCACGTGATGGTCACATGCTAGAAGCGTTAAAGTTGCTAAATCAGAGGTTTCAGCAAAGTTCAAAATATGCAAAAAAAATGGCTATTATTCTCAAATGTGAAACTTTACACCTCCTCCGTTTCCAATCAATTTCTCACATTTGTTCCGTTTAGACAATATATTACAGTTAGAACTTGCTCTGTGATATAACAAATTTCACAATTTTTTAATATTAAACATATAAAAATTGTTATATCAAAACTTATAAATTCTGATATAATGAAGTTTTCCATTGAACTGAAGGGTTTATTATATTAAGTTTGTACTGTATTTTTTTTGTACGATTATTTATTTACATATTTACCATCAACTTCATGTGACTATAAAATGTTTTTTAATTACTCAGCTGATAGACTTACTATTTTTTATTTATCCTGTACTGCAAATACTGATGAAACGATATTGCTGTATATGAAAGACCTTCTTGTCAGGAGATAAAATGATGTTTGTGCATTTTTCTGGCCTTTATTATCCAGCATATTTTTTTTTTCATCAGTTAAAGAGTTACATGAAGTATTTGGGATGAATATTCTCAATATAAAGGCGGGATAGACTCCAACTTAGAGAATATAGGTCGTAGACTTCTGGCAACGTGCTCTTCAGAAAAATCCAGGATAACTAACAGTAGCTGTATCCTACTATATAAAAACTCACTCTTGAGTGGGTATTTTGGAGCTAGTAAACATTAGTCAATATAATATACTCTATAAAACCATTGATACATTTTCCTAATTTCAGAAATTTCTAAAGTTTTTACGCATATTTTACCTCATTTTACTTCATGTAACCAGTTAATAAACAGGTTAGTAATTTATTAAAAACCTATAACGCTAATGTTATGTAATATTAAAATTTGGAATTATTTCTATTTTGATAAATGTCAAAGACCTACTATGGATAATTGTAGTTCTCATAACCAATAAATTAAAGAGAATATTATTTTGATATTATTTTGTATAACTTCTACTGCTTTAAATAATGTTTCTAGTACTGTAAATAACTTTTCTATTTGATTATTTTTGAGTGCTTTAACAATTTCCACCAATAATAAAACCATTTCTAAAATTAAAAAAAAAAAAATCAAGTTGAGTAGATCTGAAGAAATTTTGTCTTATTACATTATACTCATGTCTTTTTATATTGTCTAATAACAAATATCAAAATAATTTCATGTCTTATAGTATTCAGGAAGTTTACACAATAAAGTTGCTCTTTGATTATTTAAAAGTAATAAAGTGGGTGTTTGGTAAGTTTTATTGCGTATTTCTCTAAAATTTGATATATTAGTGTAATTTTTCTAATTATTTTAATAATAATAATATGCAATTCATATTATGTGAAACATTCAAAGTTTATAAAATCAATAAATTGATAGTATCATTTGTAATTTTTTATAATTTCTGTTTAGATATTAGTTAAGCAATATATTAATTACACAACACCATATAAACTGACCAATATAGTTACATACCCATCAATTATGATGACGTCACTTTTATCATTCAACATTTAGCCTACTTTACCGGCAAAACATAAAAATTTTATAAAGAAATTATTAAACGACCAAACTGTCAATCTCAATCAGTTCAACAAACGTCTACTTCCAATCTTCCAATAATGATACAAATAACAATAATCGTCATGAAGAACATGCACAAGAAAACTAATATATAAACACTTCGAAGACAAAGTAGCAGTGGACTACTTATACAACCGCGACAAATGGATTTTACTCATAGAAAACTTCACTGTAAGAATCCTCGTTGGAAAAATTTTGAGTTTATAAAGTCACGATATAAACTTTTCAAAATTAATAATCGTTATTAGCCAATTATGTGCAGATTCTGACTCGAACATGTCATGAATGTATGGCGTACCGTATAATTACACTAGGGATTGGAACCGTCCAAAAAAACCTTAACCGGTTAAAAACCGGTTAACCAAGGGTCTTAACCGGTTAATAACCGGTTAATATTAAAAATATTTTAAAAACTTTTTTTACTGCAAATTGTACCAATTTTTGATTTTACTTGCATATTTAGTTATAGGACGACTATATATCACTAAAATTATTATAAATAAATAGAAAAAAATTCGGCATTAAAACTTCAAGTTTAGGAACACGTGGCCGCAATTTACATATCTCTGGGCCGCATTATATAAATCTGACTAGGATTATGATAAATATAGTTTTAACCGGTTAACCGATTTTCAAAATCTTTTAACCGGTTAACCGTCTTAACCGGTTAATTAACCGGTTAACATTAACCGGTTCCAATCCCTAAATTACACAACAAGTGACTTGTTATAAAACAACATGTCTTGTTGTTTTTCATGTTAATCATACAATGATTTCCAATTTATCTTTCGGATTCCATATATGGCGTCTTATCGATTATCTGGGTTTTTAAACATATCACACTTTAATAGAAACTTTTTTTAACAGGTGATAATTTTTTTTTTTTTTTTTTTTTTTTGACAGATCATTTCGTTAGTAAATTTTTTAACAAGGGAGATTTTTTATTTAGAATTTTGGTAAGGAATAGCCGTTTACAAAAGGTGTTCAGATGCAGGTCACTGTATCGTGGGAAATCACTTGATTTCCCTGATTTTCTCCTTTTTCAAAACTCTGCTTCGTAACAATAAAGATTCTCTCGGATTACCAGGTAGATGATATAATTACCATAACTCTACCAGAAAGACTATATCAAGTTAAATATGAAATGATAGTAACGTAAGTATTAATAAAATTATTTACATATATACTATAAATTATATACTATATATAAACAGATAACAAAATATTATTCAGAAGAATGTAGACTTGTATCTTGATGAATTGTTCAGGAAATGGAAGTTCGAAGTGGCAAGCATATTTCTATTCCTACTCTTTGAAGATTACTAGTTTTATTGTGGAATAACACGAAAAAGAGTTTATATTTCATATTTTGTATTTTCATATGATTATTTATTTTAGCTGCATAAAATATATAACAAAAGAGCGTAATGAATTACTTCGTAGCGCTTTTATGATACATATAGGTACAATATTAATGTGAACAGCTAATTTTCTTAGATGAATAATTTCATGATGGCTTAGAAATTAACACAAGAGTTATAAAAAAAGTGGGACTGTTCGTGGCAAACGTTACATATTTTTACTGGCCCTTTCTTTAGATGGCATTATTGCTATGGATATTATTGAAGATGGTTGCACAAAAGTTTTTTGACAAAGTTTTTTATTCGCCACACAATAAATTTAGATAGTCATTAAAATTAGTTATAGGGTATATGTACTTAGTATCCTTATCTCTATGTATTTCTTTTATTTGATTATATAATCTATAATATATTATATCCTGTATAAATTTTTAATTAATAAAAAAATGCGTTACTAATTAAAAATATATATATATATTATGCAACATCAAAAAAACCTTCCTTCCTATTAAAAAAAAGAATTTTTTACCGAAATTCTCAATCATGTAATTTCTATAAAAAGATTCCCAGCAAAATTATTTATCTCCCCATTAAAGAAAAATAATGAAATTCTCTATCAAAAACAAACCTCCTATTAAAAAAAATTCTCTAACGAAATTCTCTGCCAAAAAACATTTTCACCTATTAAAAATAACATTCTCAAAAGTAATTATTTATAAAGAATAACTCCCTCTTATNCATTTACATATAAAGTTATATAAGATTAATTTGAGAGTTTTTTACCAAAAAGGAAATTTTTTTATAAAAAGAGAAATGATTTTCAATTTCGAGGCAATTCAGCAGGTGTTTTAATAACAAATTGAGAAATGATTTCCATAGAAAATCTCGTGACAAAATTTATAATAAATTTAAAAATAAATGATCAACAAATGATCAATAAAATCGTTACTAGTTTTATAAAAAACGCCCAATAATATCTTTTTATTGTTTTAAATAAATAAAATTTTATTTTAAATTTTGTTTTAAATTTTATTTTTATTGGTATTATTTAAGCTATATCATAATTTATGATTTCAAATTTCCAAGAAGATTTCTTCTTTTCACATATGGGATTAAATACTAAATAACAATATATTTTGTTTGGAAACAAAAAAAAATAATTAATAATCGAAATAATCTAAAAATTTAGTCTATTTAATTCATTAATGATCTAACAAGATGGATAAAACTTTGAATTATGGATCATTATGGTAATTATGCACTTTTTTTTTGGCAAAAAATCCTTTCATGCATCATATAATAATAATTCTCTAAATAATGTTAATTGAAATTAAAGAAATCAATCTTAATATGTATGTAAAATCATATTAATGTTTTAATAGGTGGAATCGGTCTGTCTGTCTG